CAGAAGCACACAAAACAGTGCTTCTGTGTCGGGCTTATTTCACTCAGTATCATGTTTTCAAGTTTCATCCATGTTGTACCGTGTGTCAGGAGTCCACTACTTGGAGAAGAATAGCATTCCATTTCATGCATATGCCATATTCTATTTATCCAGTCATCTGCTTATAGACACTCTGATTGCTTTCATCTTTTAGCTACTATGAATAATTCTGTAATGAATGTAGGTATTTGATCAAGTACCAGCTTTCTTTTCTTTTCTTCTTCTTTTTTGTATTGCTGAATCATAAAATCCTGTGTGTGTGTGTGTGTGTGTGTGTGTGTCCATGTTGCACACGATGGGCAGGAGCTACATCTCCAACCTCTGCGCTTAACCCTCTGAAGAAGCTCCAGTGTTTCCCACAACAGCTGTAACATTGGGGCATTCCCACCTGTAATGCACAGGGATTCCAGTTTCTCCACATCTCAACACTCAACATCTTAATGGTGTGAACTGGTATCTCATCGTGGTTTACAGTTCACTAATGGCTAGCACCTTTGAATATGCTCACTAGCTATTTATACATCTTCTTCGGAAAATATCTATTCCAATCTTTTGCACACTTTTGAATTTTTTAAAATTATTGTTGTTGGGTCATAGGAGTTGTTTATATCTGGATATTCATCCCTTATCTGCCTCATGATTTGCAAGTCTTCTCTCCCATTTCAAAAGTTACTTTTCCACTGAGTTGATTTTGTTCTTTGATGTAAGATAGTTTTTAATATTTATGAAGTCCAAATCACCTAATTTTCTTTCGTTGCTTCTGCTTTTAATGTCATATCCAAGAAATCATTGCCAAGTCAAATAAAGCTCTTGTGCTGCTGTCTTCTAAGAGCTTCATGATTTTAGCTGGTATGTTTAGATTTTCATATATTTTGAGTTAATTTTTGTATGTGGTGCTAAGTAAGAATCTACCTTTTTTATTTTGCATGTGAATATCCAGTTTTCCCATCATCATTTATTGAAAATATTGTTCTTTCCCCATTAAATGGCTTGACACCCTTATAAAAATCAATTAATATGTTTCTTAGTCCATTTGTGTTGCTCTAAAAGAAAACCTGAGACTGGAGAATTGCTAAAGATCAAGGCATTGACAGTTTTGGTTGTTGGGTGAGCCAGCTCTCTGTTTCTAAGATGGCACCCAATCCATTCTGTCTCCTTTATTCCAATGGGACAATTTCTTCTGAATGTGTCAAGTCCTCTGATGTTTCCTCTGTCATTTCCATTATGTCCACATCCAGTGCAATTTTATTTTTATTATTTTTTCACTTCTAAATTTGCACTTAGTTTTTCCTTCTGTCTTCCATTTCTTTGCTGTGGTTTTATTTTTCATTATTCCAGAAGTGTTTGTAATTGCTTGTTGAAGCATTGCTTGAAAAATCTTTGTCGGCTGGGCATTGTGGTGCACACCTATAATCCCAGCTGCTGAGGCTGAGACTCACCAAGTTTGAGGCCAGCCTGGGCAACTTGGTGAGACCCTGTCACAAAAGAAAAAATAAAAATGGTTGGGAATGTAACTCTGTGGTAACCATCCTGGGTCCAATCCCCAGTACCAAATGATGATGATGATGATGTTGATAATCCTTGTAGACAGTTGCAACATTTGTATCATCTCAGCATTGGGTCTGAAGATTATACCTTCTTATGCAAGTTAGTAGTTTCATTTTTTCCTAGTGTAATAATAATTTTGCACTACATCCTGGAGGTTTTGATATTTTATCATGAGACTGTTTACGGTTTCAACCTTTTATTTTAGCGGAGAATCAACCTGTTTAGATTCATAATGCAGGTGTGATTCATGTCTATAGGCTGTTGTTCAACTGTTCATTGATTTTTGAAGACTTTTCAGTGGTGTCTTGGCTTCCCCCACTTTGGTGCTTCCCCAGAGAAACCCAGGCGGTGTGCCAGATGAGGGTACAATTTTGGTTCTGTTTTTTTCTGTTTTTGTTTTATCTTGTTGAGGAGCATCTTTTTTCTACCAGGGATTGAACCATGGGGTGCTTCAATGTATATTTTTGGAAGCTTTGCTAAGCATCAGATGATTGTAACTATGTAGGTTTGTCTCTGTGCCTTCTATTCTATTACATTGGTCTTTTATGTCTATTTTGATGCCAATATCATGCTGTTTCTGTTACTATAGCTTGGTAATATAATTTGAGTTTGGGTATCGTGATACCTCCAGCATCACTCTTCTTGCTCAGGATTGTTTTGGCTATTCTGGGTCTTTTATTGTACCACATGAATTCAAGGACTCCCTCAGCCCCCAGTTCTGTGAAGAATGTCATTGGAATTTTGATAGGGATTGTGTTGAACCTGTATAACACCTTTGGTAATATGGCCATTTTTAAAATTTTTTTTAAAGAGAGAGAGAGAGAGTTTTTTAATATTTATTTTTCAGTTTTTGGTGAACACACATCTTTATTTTATTTTTATGTGGTGCTAAGGATCGAACCCAGCACCCTGCACATGCCAGGCGAGTGCGTTACTACTTGAGCCACATCCCCAGCCCAATATGGCCATTTCTTAAAAATATATTTTCTTAGTTGTAGATGGACACAATATCTTTATTTATTTATTTATCTATTTATTTATTTATGTGGTGCTGATGATCGAACCCAGTGCCTATACATGCAAGGCAAGTGCTCAACCACTGAGTTAAAATCCCAGTCCCAGTAATATGGCCATTTTGACAACATTAATTCTACATATCCAAGAACACCGGAGGTCTTCCTACCTTCTAAAGTCTTTTTTCAATTTCTTTCTTCAGTGTTCCTTAGTTTTCATTGTAGAGCTACTTCACTTCCCAGGTTAGACTTATTCCCAAGTATTGTTCAAGGTTACTATAAATGGGATAGTTTTCCTGATTTCTTTCTCAGAAGATTCATTATTGGAGCATAGGAAAGGATCTTGTATCATGCTACTTTGCTGAATTTATTTATCAACTCTAGAAATCTTCTGGTAGAGTTTTTTGGGGGTCTTCTAGGTCTAGGATCATGTCAGCAAACAGGGTTAACTTGACTTCTTTTAATCTTTGTATCCCTTTAATTTCCTTTTCTTGCCCGATTTCTTGGCTAGAATTTCAAGAACTTTATTAAATAGAAGTGGTGAGATTAAGTGGTGAACCTAAGCACCCCCAGGCTCAACCCAAGATTCCCTGGGTACCTATTGCTCCTTCTTGCTTCTTTCCCTGCCAAGTACTGAACCCCTCCCAGCCTTCCCCTGGCATCTCCCCTCATCTTATCAAAATACTTTCTTCTGCCCTCTCTCCAGCATCATAGTCAGTCAACAAGTATTTACCAAACATACTGCAGTGTGCCACAATTTAACATTAACTGAAAACATCTAGCATTGCTGCTCCCAGGTGGCCGGCACTCTCGTAGGGGACACATACATTAGACCATTTGTCACACTAGGGATACAGCATTACACTGTGAGACAGTGATGTAAGTTAGGGACTCCATTCAAATGGAACACTCCACTTGATTACTACAGAATAAACAGTCTTTTCAATAGCACATGGAACATTCTCCAGGGTAGAACAGGTACTAGGCCATAAAACGCAGATCAATAAATTTAACAGGAATGAAATTATACAAAATACGCTCTCTGGCCACAAGGGAATGAAAGAGGCATCAAGAAGACAACTCAATCATAGTTGTTTTGAGTTGCAATTCCTTATTGTCAATAATTGATACAAAACAAAAAAAAAAGTCAGCAAGGTATGGAAGTCTTGAACATCACTGTCAACCAAATCATGAAGTCCAAGGGAATGAAACAGATGAGCACCCTGCTAAAGTACTTTTAAAAATACTTAAATAAAATTGGTGGTATTAGGGATTGAACCTGGGGTTGGGGTGCTCTACCACTGTGCTCCATACCCAGCCCTTCTTTTCTTTAAAATTTGAGAGGGGTCTCCTTAAGTTGCCCAGGCTGGCCTTGAACTTGCCATTCTCCTACCTCCACCTCCCAAGTAGCTGGTGTTACAGGCATGTGCCACCACGCCTAGGAAGGGACTTCTTGAAATACTGTGTGTGTGTGTAGGTCTCGCGGGTAGAAAAGTAGCTCAAATCACAACAGGGACTTAGGTCTTCTTTCTGTCCCAGTTTACACATAGGAGGCTTCAACTAAAGTAACTGACAAAATCCCTGATGACTGAGTCACGAGCGCATGTCAGCAGTCATTTTCCAACATTTCCAGTCCGTGCCTGTCACCCCCGTGTCTCCCCTGTGACCACAGTGCTGGGCGGCCTCATTGGGGGTGCTGGCTGCTGCAGCTGCAGTCTTCAAGCCTTTCTTTAAAAACAAAACAAAAACCCAAAACACTGTCCAACGTAACTCCATTTTTTTCACGCGTCAATTTTCCTTAATATTCTCAGCACGCGGCGCAGTTTCCCTCATCGCCCCCAAAACCATTTCCAAGGGGAAATGCTGTCATTTCGATCGGGATCCATCTAAGGGGTCCTTCTGCTTTGGGGAGTAGCGCTTAAGTTGAGCCCCCCACCTCCTCAGGCTCCTAGAGATCCCCAGCTGGGGTTTTGGGAACTGCAGCCGCCAGGCCTGCAACCCTCGGGAGCGCCCAGTGGGGCAGCCGCAGACGCAGAGCTTCCCGGGACTCGTAGTCTCCACTCCGTCCGTCCAGCCGCGCTATGCCTAGGGCGGGCTCGGCGGCGCTGCGCATGCGCGGCGTTTCGGTCAGCTCGGGGGCTCTGCGCACGCGCGGCATCTGCCCCGCCCCCTCGCTGGGCTGCTCGGGCTCCGCAGGCGGCGGCTCGGCTGCCTCCGGCTGGGCTCGGAGAGCTGAGGCTGCGCACGTCGATGAGCGTAGGGGACCGTCGGTAGTGAAGCGGCAGGTCCTGCGACCTCCTGCGCCCCCCAGCGTCCCTGGATACTACCGGTGGGCCCTGGAGGGCCGAGGCCGGTGGGGACCGGCCCGCGCTCCCGGACGCAGGTGGGACTGAGCCCGCGGAGCAGGTGTGCGACGCGGGGTGCTTGCGGGCCCGTGAGCCGGGGCAGCCGGCGGCAGCGGGGGAAACCCGCGCGCGACGTTGACACGACGGTGCCAGAACGCGCGTGCTGTGCGTCTGGGGCGAGACCCCGAGCTCTGGAGCCTGAAAGGCTGGGATCAGTTCCCGCTCTGTCACCTGTTAGGTGGCCTGGGTGAGTCTGCTTTCTCACCTGGGAACGAGGATGTAAGTAATGACCTCATGACTGTTTTGAAACTTGTAAGGCATCACCTGTAGCGCAGCCAGATGCAGGTTACTAAGCCCTGGTAAGTGACAAGTGCTGTTATGTTTAGGGGAGAATTGTTCTTCTCATTGGATGACTCACCTAAACCCCACAGCACTCTAAGATCAACATGACCATCTGCATTAAATGACAACGTAAGGTTGGTGGAGTCGTGAGTTTAGGTCATGAGCTAGCGGTTGAGGGAGCTCAGATTCAAGGGCAGGTGTGATTTGCTTCTGGTTTCAGGTGCTAATATCACAGGTATCTGTTACAGGTATCTGAGCAGACTGATTTGTCTCCAAATACACAAGGATATGATGGGAAGTGAATATAGAATTTTACCATGTGTTAAATGTATTCTGAAATTACTGGTATCCCTTCAGATCCCTTGGATCAGACAGGTTCCTGGCCCCTTCTGCACTGCCAAGTTGTGTGTCTTTTAATATCTTCTGATATCATAATTAATTCCAGGAGTCAAGTTCTTGCTCTTAAAGTGAATTTGTTTTTCAGGTCCAGGTTTCAGCTTCTTGCAACAAAGTAGCCCTTGTGAAGTAGGAAGAAGGGCCCCTCTGTGCACAATAGTTTTACCTGGAAGAGAAACCTCTCTGACTTAAGCTCTTTCTCCAGAGCTTCAGAGCAAGAGACAAGATCCCAAGAAGAAGCAGATCCTAGATTTGCATGATCAGAAGCAGTTCTTGTTCCTCCTGCCCAGGGTGAGCCTGACTTGCTGACAGTGCCAACTCCAGAAGCCACTGCAGACTGTGACAGTAGAAAGTTTGGGCCAGCTTTGAACATAGCAGGGTGAGGCAGGGAGGCCCAGGGACAGGTTGCCTGGGGAAGTCCACTTCATGGCAGGGCTTGTGCAGGGAGGTCTGCAGGTGAGAGATGATTAGGTAGAAGGTGGAAGTTCTGTTCTTCTGCTGTCCTGGAGAGGCTCAACCCCTTGCTTCTCCATTCTACAGATGCTGTGCTGCTGTCACATGTCTGACACCACATGTGACTCTAATGAGTTTATCCTGGCTTCAGAGAATCCCAGAATGATAATACATGTGGGAGTTAGTTATATTTCTGACTCTGGAAGTTTTAAAACATTGGATACAGAAGTCTCAGTGACTTTCCAAGGGATGCCTAGTTGGTGACAGGAGATAAAAATAGTACAGTTCACTCACAGGTAAGTCACCAAAAGCATCTCATCAAAAGGGCTTTTAGAGAAATACATCCAGTTAAAACAAACAAAAATCCTTGCCTTAGAGTATCATATTCTTTTACTAGGCTTTCTGTGAGTTATCTCTATCAGAGGATAAGCAGTGTTACTAAGAAAAAATGATAAATGATGCATATGGAGTATTTTTCTGCTAAGCTAATTTTAATGAAAGCATAGTGTTTGATCCTTTGAAATGCTTTAAATCAAGGTATCCTTTGTTTTTATTTCTTTATTTTAGCTAGAAGGACATGTGCTTTATTGTTAAATCAATCTAGAAGACTTAATGTTCATTTAGAAGAAACAGCAGGTGTGAGCCCATGATCATTTCAGAGTTGCACTGGGACAGGTGTGCTGCCTGTAATGATCCTCTGCATGCATTCCAAGGCTTAGATGCTCTTTTAGAGCTGCCCTCCAATGGGGTTGGTGAGAGTTGGGGAAGAGAACCTGGTAGCTGTGAAGCAGGCAGTCTTATGACCCCATTCTCTTTATTTCTCCCCCCGCTGAGCCTTTACCATTCCTATGCTGTCCCAGGAGCCTCAGAAAAATGAATACATCTCAGGTGAGCACTTTATTCATTCCCTCACTTTATAATGTAACTGATTTATGAGGTTTAGAAGGGTCCATGCATTAAATGGAAAAGAGGAAATGGAAATAGGTCAAGTCAATCTTGATGGGAAATATAGTTTTACCATGAACTCCAACGTTTGCGCTTAGCCCTTGATAGATACATATTTGCTGGGATATGTGGGCTTCCTCCACTAACCAGTTTGCTATGATTTCATGTTAATCATGAATGGGCATTAAATTATATTGGAATATTTTTTGTATGTCTGTTGGACAAATGCTATAGTATATCCTTTATAAATATTATAAAAAATATAATGGATTTTCTGATAGTATCCTGAATTGCTATATAGACCCTAGTTGCTAATAAATGTGCTAAATTGATTCTTCCATATTTTCTTAGTCTTTTTTTAAAGCTTTTTCGAGGACTTTTATTTCTATATTCACAAATTAGATTATACTCTCTTGTTTCCCTGTCTAGTTACGTTATCATCATTACAGTCTCATAAAAGTGGGCAGTTTCCTGTTACTCCTTTTCTAATTTAGAATAGTGAGAAAGTATTGTCATATGAAGATTTTGGGAAATTCCCCTATAAATTTGGACTTTGTGAGGACTTTCTGTGTGAAGATTTTATTGAGATGACTTATTAGTCTGTTAAACAATTTATTATCATAAAACTATACTACATGGGTACTTTTATTAATGCAGTTTTCCTGATTACATTTTATTAGAAAATTTGTTCATTTTATTTATATTTTAGATGTATTTTTAATAGTACAAAGACTTTATTCCCTCTGCTATGTCAATAGCAGCTTTAAACATAATTTTAGTATAAAAGTTGCTGATTAGAAATGGACAAAATATGCTCTAATTGGCCCAGTCTGTACCTAGAATTTCGTAATGTGAGAATCTTAGTGACTGGTGTGAGGATCTTAGTGATTGGTGTGTGAGCTCTGCGTAATGGAAGTGGATGAACGTGCACCTGCCCTGTTTGTGTGCTCTGCCCTTGCACACCCATCTGATAGTACTATTTGTTGAAAGCAATGTACCTTCTCCCTTGAATTGCCTCGGCACCTAAAAGCGTGTATGGGTCTGTTTCTGGATTCTGTTCAACTTCTAATGATCAGTGTTTGTCGTTTGCTAATACACTGCCTTGATAAGTATAGCTTTACAGTAAGTCTTGAAATCCAGTAATGAGCCTTCCAACTGATACCCTCTAAAATATGGGCGTTTTGTTTTTTTCCTTTTTTTTTTGGCACTGGAGATTTACCTGGGGGCGTTTAACCATTCAGCCACAACCCCATCCCTTTTTAATATTTTATTTAGAGACAGGTCTCACTAAGTTGCTTAAGGCCTCACTAAATTGCTCAGGCTGGCTTTGAACTTGCTATCCTTCTGCCTCAGCCTCCCAAGCTGCTGGGATTACAGGAATGTTCCACCACAGCCTGGCCTTATTTTTTTCTTTCTAACTCTTATACCTTTTTTCTTTTCCTTTCCTTGTATCAATGGTCAATATTCCCATTGAATGTCAGGGAGAAGTCTTCTGTATTAAGTTATGAAGGGTAATATACAGTAGAGTTTTTTTTTTTTTGAAAGATACCATTTGTCAAATTAAGAAAGATCCTCCCATTCTCAATATGTTAAGAACTCATTAATGGGTATTAAACTTTCTTAAAATTATTTACTACAGAAATATGTGATCATATTTCTGTCTGTGATGAACTACAATATCTTGGATAAAAAATATTTTCCTGTCCGTGATTCTGAACCCTTAGATTGATTAGCTGTGTGCTGTTCCAGGCCTCAGTATCGTTCAAGGACGTGACTGTGGAACTCTCCCAGGAGGAGTGGCAGCACATGGGCCCTGCCCAGAGGACCCTGTACAGAGAGGTGATGCTGGAGAACTACAGCCACCTGGTCTCCGTGGGTGAGCAGACCTGACTATGCAGCTCTCTCTACAATGCAGTTCTGTTTTCTCTTCTTTCCTTTTTAAGTTCTAATCACTGTTGATAAGGTGTATATTTAACAGAAAATATTATTGAGCACCTTTCAGCATTCTGGTCACTGAGTTCAGAAAATGTTTACAGTTGATTACTACCGTCAAAATCAAAATTTTTGGATATTTCTGTTGCCACCAGATGATTCTTATATCCCTTTAAATATTAGCAGTTTTTTCTTTCTGTGCTAAGTACTCCTTTGTGTGCATGTATCACAATTTGATATCCTTTATCAGTTGATGGGCACATGGGTTTTTTTCCAGTTTGGGGCTATTGTGAATAAAGCCACAAAAAAATTTCACATATAGATCTTTGCGCCAACATGTGTTTTCATTTTTCTTGTGTAAATATGTAGGAGTGGATTTGCTGTGTCTTCTGGTCAGTTTATATATAACATTATAAGAAACTGCCAAAGGTTTTCAAACTGTCTATGCTGCTTTTCATTTATATATATATATATATATATATATATATATATATCACACACACACACCACACACACACACACACACACACACAATGTATATACATATATATTTTTATGCATGTATGCGCGCGCACATACGTATATATATATATGAATAATTAATAATGATCTTATTGTTTTTTAGTTACCCACATTTGATAAGTTTTATTATTTTTTAACCATTCTGGGTTATATTTTTACCATCTGGTTGTATTTTGTTTAGCTTTAAGTTGTATTTACTGACCAACAATGTTGAAACTTTTAAATGTGTTTGTTAGCCATTTATAAATCTCTAATGAAGGGTTTATCACATCTTCAGATCATTCTTTGTTTACTTTAGCTTTTAGTTTTGGGGGATTTTTTTGTTTTATTTTTTAGTTGAAGTTCAGACCTTTATTAGATATGTTTTGCAAACGTTTTCTCTGCATCTCTGGCTTGCTTTTTTTTTTTTTTTTTTTGGTACCAGGGATTGAACTCAGGGGCACCCAACCACTGAGCCACATCCCCAGCCCTATTTTGTATTTTATTTAGAGACAGGGTCTCACTGAGTTGCTTAATGCCTCGCTGTTGCTGAGGATGACTTTGAACTCTCCATCCTCCTGTCTCAGCCTCCCAAGCCATTGGGATTACAGGCATGCACCACCGCACCTGGCTTGGCTTGCTTTTTTAAGAAGAAAACATTTTCAGGGTGTTTTTTACATAGACTATTTTTTTAAAATCTTTAATAACATTTTGTAATTGATAATAATTTTACAAAGTTTTGGGTACTCTGTAATGTTTTGGTATGTATACACACTATGTAATGATCAAATCTAGATAGTTAGCATATCCATCATCTCCAATATCAATCATTTCTTTGCAGTGAAACATTCAGAATCTTCTCTTCTAGCTATTTGGAAGTAAATAATACATTATTATTGTCTATACTCATCTCATTGTATGGTGGTCCAAAGCTTATTCCTCCTACCTAACTGAAAATTTGTACCCATTGACCACCCTCTCCTCATCCTCCTTACCCACCCTCTCTATCCTCTGGTAACCATTATTCTACTCACAACATCTATGAGATTGATTTTCTTATATTGCATGTTAAGTGAGCTCATGTGGACTTTATTTTTCTATACCTGATTTAATAACCACTTAGTGGATTTCTTTTTTTTTTTTAGAGAGAATTTTTAATATTTATTTTTTAGTTTTCAGCGCCACAACATCTTTATTTGTATGTGGTGCTGAGGATCGAACCCAGGGCTGCACACATGCCAGGCGAGCGTGCTACCGCTTGAGCCACATCCCCAACCCCAAGTGTGATTTCTTTTAGATCCATTCATGTTGCCACAAATAATATGATTTCATCTTTTTCTGGATTAATAGTTTTTAATTTTATGTATACCACATTTTTTTCATCCATTCATCTCTTGATGAACATTTAGGCTGATTTCATATCTTGATTATTGTGAATAGTGCTGTAATAAACATGGGAGTACAGATGTTTCTTCAATATATGGATTTCATTTCCTGTGGATATATTCCCAGGATTGCTGGATCATGTGTAGTTCTGTTTTTAATGTTTTGATGAGATTCCATGCTGTTTTACTTAGTAGATGTGCTAGTTTACATTCCCACTGATGGTATGCAAGGGTCCCCGTTCTCTGCATTCTCACCAATGTTTGTTATTCTATGTCTTTTTAGCAACAGCCATCCTAACAGTTGTAAAATAGTGAGGTTTTAGTTTGCATTTGCCTGTGATTGAAGATGCTGAATGTGTTTTAATAGCTTGTTGTCCTTGCATATCTTCTTTTGAGAAATTTTTATTAATTTCTTTGCCCATTTTTGTTGTTGTTTGTTTTTGTTTCTTACTGCTGGGGATCAAACCCAGATCCTCATGCACACTAGGCAAACGTTCTACCACTGAGCTACACCCCCAGCCTTTGCTTATTTTTTAATTTCCTTGATATTGAGTTGTCTGAGTTCCCTATGTATTTTAGATATCAGCTGTTTATTAGATGGATAGTTTAAAAACATTCTGTCCCATTCTCTAGCTGTCTCCTCACTCTGTTGTTTTCATTGCTGTGCAGAAGTTTTTGGCTTTATATAATCCCATTTGCCTATTTCTGGTTTGTTGGTTTTGCTTTGGGAATCTTAAGCAAAAATTATTGCTAAATTCAATGTCATGAAGCTTCTCTTCTGTTTTCTTATAGTAGTTCTGTAGTTTCAGGTCTTGTTTTAAGTCCTTTGTCCTTTTTGACTTGATTTGAGTATTATGGTAAGAGAGGTCTAGTTTCACTCTTTTGCATGTGAGTATTCAGTTTCTCCATCACTTATTGAAGATAAGTCCTGTGCCCATTTTGTATTCTTGGCATTTTGGTTGCAATTCAGTTGGTTACAGATGCAAGAATATATTCCTGATGCTCTGTACTGTACATTGGTCTGTATGTCTGGTTTTTTTTTTTTAAAGAGAGAGAGAGAGAGAGAGAAGAGAAGAGGAGAGAAAGAGAGAATTTTTTAATAATTATTTTTCAGTTTTTGGTGAACACAACATCTTTATTTTATGTGGTGCTGAGGATCGAACCCAGTGCCCCGCACATGCCAGGCATGCGCTACCACTTGAGCCACATCCCCAGCCCTGTATGTCTGTTTTTATGCCAGTATTATGCTGTTTTGATCATTGCTGCTTTGTAAGATGTTTGAGGTCAAGTATTCTGATACCTCCAGCTTCATGGTTTTTTTTAAATTGGTTTATTATAGTTATATGCAATAGTGGGATTTATGGTGATATATTCATGACATAATTTGGTTGATTTATTTCCCCAGCACCTCCCCTTTCCTGCCTTCCACTTTCTCTCGCATCCCCTTCCTCTAGTCAGCTTGTCTCCCTAGTTTTATGAGATAACTTTTTATTCTTTTTTTCTCTCTAGCTTCAACTTATGAGAGAAAACATATGACCTTGACTTTCTGATTCTGGCTTACTTCATATAACATGATGGTCTTCAGTTCCATCCACAGTTTAATTCTTTATTACTGAGTAAAACTCCATTGCATATATATACCATCTGCTGATAGACACGTAGACTGATTCGATAACTTGGCTATTGTGAATTCCATTGCTGTAAACATGAATATGCAACTATTGCTGTAGTGTGCTGACTAATTCTTTTGCATAAATATGAGGAAGTGGCATAGATAGTTCATATGGTGCTTTCCTTCCTAGTCTTTTGAAGAACCTCCATGTTCCTTCGTTCCCCATATCCTTGTCAGCATTTATTATTATTTGTGTTCTTGGTTATTGCCATTCTAACTGGAGTGATGAAATCTCACTGTAGTTCAATTTGCATGTTCCTGATTGCTGAGGATATTGAATATTTTTCATATATTAGTTAACCATTTATATATCCTTTTTGGTAGGGAGTACCGGGGATTGAACACTGAGCCAAATCCCCAGCCCCATGTTATATTTCATTTAGAGACAGGGTCTCTCAGATATGCTTAGCACCTCACTTTTGCTGAGGCTGGCTTTGAACTTGAGATCCTCCTGCCTCAGCTTCCTGAGCTGGGATTACATGCATGCACCACTGAGCCTGGCCCATTTATATTTCTTCTGAGAATTATCTGTTTAGATTATTTGCCAATTTTTAATTGGGTTATTTGGGTTTTGGGATATTAAGTTCCTTGAGTTCTTTCCTTGTCAGGAGAGTATCCTGCAAAGATTGTCTCCCATTCTATAGCCCCTCTATTCGTGCTCTTTTATTGTTCCCTTTGCGTGTAGAAGCTTTTTAATTTGATGCCATCCCTTATTCATTCTTGATATTTTCCTGAGCTTTAGGAGTCCTATCGAGGAAGTTGTTGCCTGTGCCTGTATGTTGAAGTGTGATCCTATGTTTTCCTCTAGGAGTTGCCAAGTTTGTGGTTGTTATGATTTGAATATGAGTTGTCCCCCCAAAAGCTTCATGGGTCATTCAGTGTGGTAATGTTCAGAGCTTAAATAATCAGAGTATGAGAGCTGTGACTTCAGCAGTGGATCAACCCATCTGCTGGACTAATCATTTGAAAGGATCACTGTTGTTTTGGGGTGACTATAGGCAAGAGGGGCCTGGCTGGAGGAAATAGGTCACTGGAGGCGTGCCTTTGGGAATTGTATTTTGTTCTTGGCTCCTATCTGTCTTTTGGCTTCCTCACGGCTCTGAGCGGACAGCTTTCACCCAGCTCACCCTTCCTCCACGATGTTCTGCCCCCGCACAGGATCAGAGCGATGAAGGTGACCGCCCGTGGACTGGACCTCTCAAACTCTGAGCCCAAAGTGAAGTTTTCTTCCTCTAAGTTGTTTTCCTCCGTTACCTCACTCACAGTGACAAAAAGATGGCTGACACAGTAATCTGATTCCTAGGCTAATATAAATCCAAAAGACTTTTTGGAACTGACTCTTGTGCAGGGTGAGAGACCAGTATCTAATTTTATTCTTCTACATAT